CAAATGTAAATGAACATAGTTGCCCCTGGAAAATTAGTGCGGTGGGTTTTCGCTTTCCATGAGTGGTGTTTTCTCTCCGGTATGCCGTGCCGAAGAGTTAACAATAGAGGTGCCTAAGCCAAAAGGTCCACGTTTGCCCCCCCTGGATTTCCTTGTATTTTATTTATGAGTTATTTCTTGTGCTCTCTTGTTCCAATTGTAGCAACATGAATTCTTTAGATGTGAGAACAGTTTGAATTTCGGTTGTATGTTTAATATACACATGTTAGAATATCTTTTGTATTTTTGTTTTATAAAAAAATTTATTCATTTAAATAAATATTTAATTGAAAATGCTTCTAAAGTGAAGATAAAAATTTATAAATCTAGATGTTTAATATACACATGTTAGAATTATCTTTTGTATTTTTATTTTATAAATATATTTATTTATTTAAATAAGTTTTTAATTGAAAATGCTTCTAAAGTAAAGATAAAAATTTATAAATCTTATTAATGATTGATTTAAGTAATTTAATAGTAATTTCAATAAAAATAAAAAAAAATTAAATTTAAATTATATATAATATATAAATAAAATAAATTATGAAATAAAAAAGTGTTACTTTTTTTTTTTTGAACAGGTTTTACAAGGGACTGAGTCGAATTCAGTCCGGGGAAGGGAGAAGTGCATCGTGAGTGGTTGTTGCCACTTGAGTCAAAGGGTTCGGTAAAAAGTGTTACTTTTTATTTTATTATTCAAAATAAAATATAATAAATATATCTTAATTTAATAGAATAAAAAGCTTTTCTTTCCTTCCCTTTCCCTTTCACTTTCTTCATCTTAATTTCTCCTTAGCCAAGCATATTTTACATAGGTAGACCTAAGTCAAGGGTTCTAGATTAAAGGTTACTTTCTTGGAAAACGTGACCAAATGTACATTATTAGATTGCCAGTCACCTTATGGCATTGGAATTCGATGTGTTTAGACAATTTGATTGGTTCAACATTACAGTTTGATTAGCTCTCGCATAATTAAATGTTGTGGACTTGAAGTGAGTCTTTGCCGCCATTGTCCTGCGAGGTTAAGGTCAAGGTCGTCGAATCATTCCTAAAAGATTGAGACGATGTGTTGTAAAGTTTGTAAGTATTTTTATTTTTATTTTTATTATTTATGTTTCAAAATTTTAAATTTTTATTTTTAAAAAATTAATTGATATTGTTAAATTATTATTTTTTAAATTTAACAAAAAATTAATAACAATCATTAAATTTGAGTTTATTTTTTGAAAATAAAAATTTGGAGTGAGAAATTATATTAACATTTTTTTGACTAATGATTTGTTTTAACATAATAATTTTGGGGAGAATTTGTCATCCTAAATTTTTATTTTTAAGAAATTAACTTAAATTTAATAGTTACTATTAATTTTTTGTTATATTGTTGGAGCAATGGTTTGATGAAGTTTAATAACAATTGTTAAATTTAAACTAATCTCTTGAAACAAAAAATTTAGAATAATAAATTGCATCAATATTTTTTTGAATAATGATTTATTTCAATACAATAACTTTAAGGAACAATTTGCAAAATTTGCCTATATATATAAAATGTTGAGTTATAAAAATGTATATAGATTAAATTAGCACACGGAACTTGGAAATCATCATAAAATATATACTGTCTAATCGGTGTTACATTTTATTCTTCCAATTGTTTAAAGAAAAGAAAGTGGGAAAGGGGTGAAAACATGTTGAGAAAGTTTGAACAAAGACGCCTTCGTTTCAAACATATAAATAGCATGGTGATGATTTTTTTTTTTTTTTTGGTGTTGGATCTTAATTGTTTTGTATTGTAAATGTTTAGATTTTTTTATTTTGATCAAAAATTAAAAAATTTAAATTAATATATTATATCATAACTATTGATTATCTAATTAAGTACTTAAGATTAGGAATTGACCTTGGAAAATCAAGTCCCTAATTAAAGTGGCCAAACTCAAGATATGACGTGTCTTTGATTTCACATTTGGAAAAAGTTCGAATAATTCAAGACACGAGCTGTAGTTGCTTCACACAGCTACGCAAGAGGACAGACAAGGCACTTGCAGGGAAACTTGTTTACAACCTCTAGTCTTTGATGATATTTTCAAGTGTCAATTTTTATTTTTTTTTTAAATTATGAAAGACCAAGTCATTTTCTAACAGACCATTCTTTTTCAAACAAGAAAAATCAAGGAAGGAAGAAAGACAAGGAATAAATGTATTTCATCACGGATACTAACGTTCCTTTTTCCCTTTTCTTTGATTGGCTCAGGAATATAGTGCTAATCTTTAATAACTTTTTTTTTGTTTTTGATAAAATCTTTAATAAGAATGTTAGACAAAACTTCATGAGTTTTTGAGGTGCTATTTTGTATTCTTGAAATATATTTCTTAATGATAAGGAATAAATGGAGGAACCTTTTGTTGATTTTGATTTTGTTCCTAGATTTTGTGCTTTTTAATTTTCTTATGATTGCTATGGTTGTTTTGTATATTAGACCAATTTTTGTACCTCTTAACTGATTTATCTATGAAATTTTTCTGCCCAAAAAAGAAAAAAAAAAAATCTATTTCTCAATGAACAAGGTAGATATATGTAAGCTTCTTTTGGTCAATCTCGTAATTTTCTAAGTGAGAGAATTATTGCACAACACAAATAAGGTTGATGGCATGGGGCGAAAATCTATGGCTAGCCCTCCACCTTACTAACTATGAGAGTATCAACCCCTCAACTTAAAATACGAAAGATTTAACCCCTCATCTTTTCAATTTAAGTGAAAAAGCCTAAAATGAATGACAATATTGTGTGCTCATTAAAATTCTATTACCTATTGCCATGCCAGCATCAACATGGGTATTCCTTGCCATCATGACTACTATTATGTCATAAACACAATTTTTTGCTTTTATTAGACTTGATAAAATTAGATTTAATTTGAAGATCTGACCAAATTCATTTACTATGGGTAAGGTCATAGGTTTAAATCTTTAAAAAATCAATATAGAAAAAGATATAACTTAGACTAAAATTACCCAAATCCAACTGATTTTGGTTAGGATTGAGTCGAGTTAATCCAAAATGATCCAACTAAAGTTAATTAATTTTTTAAATTTAAAATTTTGATTAATTATAGTTTTACTTTTAATTTTTAAGTATAAAATAAAATAAAATACTATAAAATGATTATTATTTATTAGAGTATTAGTGTTAATAGTAATTTAAAAGATTTTTTCAACTAAACAATTAATCAATATAAAATTTTTTAAAGAAAAATAGAGAAAATATTAAAAAAAATTTAATTTTTTAAAAAGTTAGATCCACTTAACCAAATCCAAGATCTATGTGAGTAAATCATGAGTCTACTCATTTAACCCAAAATTTGAAATGATCAAATCTAATAAATCCAAAATCTAAGATGATCTAATCTGAATCCATTTAATTCAACTGATTTACTAGGTCTAACTTTTATTATCCACAATAGCAATCCATGATGGCAAAAAATTGCCATGTTGGTGTTGACATGACAATGGGTAACGGAATTTTAACAAGTACATGGCACAATCACTCATTTTGGATTTTTTCATTTAGGCCAAAAAGATATGGGGCTAAACTTTCATATTGTAAGTTGAGGAGCTAACACTTTGATAATCACTAAGGTGGAGGGCTGACCACAGATTTTTGCCAATGGCATGGTTGGTCGTAATTGAAAATTAGGTGGTTTTCTTCTACCTTTTTTCATTTTTAGGGGACTTTCATAAGATTTTTATTTTTTTTTCTTTAATTTTAAGGAGATATAAAAGCCAGCCTACCGCGACGGCCTACAACATTGGACTAATGGACCCCTATCAGGGCCTTCTAATGGCCGGGGCTCTATGGTATTTTAATCTCTTTTCACAATTCATTGAGCCATAAGTGGGCCAAAAAAATGAGCCATAAATTAGTATAGTACCTTTTCAGCCCAAACCATAGGCTGATATCTAGCCCAAACCATAAAACCATGGACCCAACCTAAAAGCATACAAAAGTTATATTTCTTGCAGAAAGGGACAAGATCATTGACCTGAAATTGAATTCTCTGTTTCTGCATTTCTGCAGTATGTTCCTACTTCCCTTTTGATTTCAAACTAAGTTCTTAGTTGGATGTTCAAAAAAAAAAAAAGTTCTAAGTTAGCTCCTTGAGTACTTCATAATTATTGTTCACAAATAGAGATAGAAGAAACAGCACAATCAACACGCAACAATGCAACACAGTCAAGTAACAGACTAATACAACAAGCTACCCATTAACACGACGCGGTCTATATGTTTATCGCTTGCAGAGATATGAGTAGATACTATGATGTTTTGGCGATTTAGGTACAGTCTTCGACTTTGCTTTTTTCTTGGCATATTCAAGAGCTTGAATCAGGTTTTTCAAGCAAGATTCTACATCCTTATTCTCATTTTTGGTAAGCAAATGCTCTGCAACATCAGCTGGAGTCATGTTGACTTCCTTCAATAAAATGTCTATCCTTTCAAACAGATGGTGTGAATCAACATCCAAGAAATTCTTTGCTAGTATCTTGAATGCTTCAAATTTGCAGTATGACAATTCAATGTGCATGTCCATTCGGCCTCGACGAATCAGGGCAGGATCAAGTTTGTCTACATGATTGGTGGTGAAGACAATGATCCTCTCTTGTCCACAAGCTGACCAAATCCCATCAATTGAGTTCAGAAGTCCAGAAAGTGTAACTTTACTGCTCATTTCATTCTCCAATTCATTCTCCTTTTGGTCTACATCATCTTTAAAGTTGTCACTTTTTCCTTTCTTCCTGTTCCTGTGCCCTGTGAGATCAAGAGAACAATCAATGTCCTCAATCACAATGATGGATTTATTGGACGTTCCAACCAACAGCTTCCTGAGCTCCGTATTGGTTTTGATTGTTGTCAATTCAAGGTCATAGATGTCGTAGTTCAAGAGATTAGCCATGGCGGAAATCATGGTGGACTTGCCGGTTCCCGGTGGACCGTACAGGAGATACCCGCGTTTCCAGGCCTTCCCTATTTTGGTGTAGTACTCTTTCCCCCTACTGAATTTCAAGAGATCATCAACGATTTCCTCTTTCTTCTTGGGATCCATAGCCAGCGTCTGAAAAGTTGCCGGATTCTCAAAGGTGACTTTGCTCCATAAATTCCCCCGGTAATTGTGCCAGTAGGAACTAGGGTTGTTACTGAAAAGCTTCCTCTGCTTGTTTTTGGTTAGAATCGTCTTTCCCTCTTCAATCACATAATCCAGGTACGAACCAGTTATCAGAGGCCGGTGGCATCTGTGGACGGTGAGCTGGTAATACCGACTGTCACCGTCGGGGGTGGTGGAGTGACCAGAAGACCACCAGAGCTTGACCCCTTTGAATTCATCCCAGATTCTGCTATCCTCTCTTGAGAGGATCAGAATTTTGCTTTCTTTGAAAAGGGTTCCCCTGAGCTGCGCGGCCTTGTCTGTGTGCAATGCTCCAAGATAGGCTTCAATGGCGGTGTAGGCTTCATTGCTTTGGTAACCGTAATATTCCGGAAATGAGATGTGAACATAAGGAGAGAAGAAGATAATCAACCACTCTCCTAATTTCTGGACAAAGGGAAAACGCTGAAGAGTGGCAAGGACAAATTCTTGAAAGGCGAGTTGGAGATCATAAGGGAAGAATTGCTTCAATGTGGCTAAAACAAACATAAGCCCAGCAATGCTTGACCCTATCTGAGTCCATGAGTCGCCGCCGATCATCACCATGGTTCTTTCTTTCTTTCTTCTTCTTCAACAAGACGAAGGTTTAAGTTTGGTTCTTGAAACCCAAATGCCCAGTGTCCTTATGCTATAAAGATGAGTGGTCTGCTTGTCTTGCGCCGAAAGCAAAGATTCTTTTTATGCTTTTGGTTTTTGATTAGGACTTGGTGTGAAAATTGTGCATGTAAAGTTAATACAAGATTTACATTTAATTTAAAACTAATTGATTATAGTGGAGTAATTTTCTTTGTATTTAACTCACAACTATTTTATTTTTATATTTAATGTGAAAATTTTTCAGTTAACATACCCCTCATGCAAATATCGGATTCTGTTAAGTGTGTAACACTTGACAACTTTGTCAAAAAGGTGACTAATAAACACAGATTTTCAACTTTGACAACTTAAATTGGAGTGAATGAACTTTTGAAATGTGAATCAATCCTTTATGGTATGAATTTTCTTAGGTACTGAATTTTTAGGATTTAATAGTTGCGTCCTCCATGATCCATCTCTATAATTCCATAATCACTAAACTATGTTGAAATTCCATTGGTTTCTAAACAAGACTTCTTTTTCTTTTCCACTCTTTTGGTAAAACAACCAAACTTTGTTTTGTTGTGCTACAAAGAGCTGTGTCCCCTGACACATTGATACGTATACGTAGTGAAAATAACAATTAAAGTAAAATATCATGTAGCCTCTAGGCAAATTCGCTGATTAATTAGGTGGCTAAATTTCTCCCACAACTTCCTATCTGATAGAAGGAAGCAATATAAGAGTGTTTGATAGTGTGACTAGAGGTGCTAGTGGGTAGTTGTTAGCCTTTATCATTTTTCAGTATTGGTTTTTGCCTCATGCTGTTGGCAGCCCGCTTTTCTCCACAGAATCACTATTTTAATTATCCATTTCTGGGTTTTTACAAAGTTTTTTTATTTGGTGAGTGTCATCTAACATCAAGCATGACTTTATACAATCAAGAAATGAAGTTATTCATGAATTTATGATGTAGTTTGATTCAAGATAAGAACTTAGGAACCTCAAGGAACCCATTTTTCTCCTTGCTTTGTCGATTATTGCTTGATGATGCAAGGTACTTTTCAGTGTACAGTAAAAACAGACATCTTTTTCTTCTGGCCATTGATCAAGTCTACAAACAAAAGGGAAACTGAAACTTCAAGGATAACACTATGTTTTTGATGACCCATGATTCTGTAAATAATAGTGATGTGATCTAGTCCAGTCTTTAAAACAGACAAGTTTTGCATAGCCATAAACAATAATTTTTAAACTAAGACACCAACAACTTGTTCGTTGACAGGCAGAAGTCTGGCTTTTGCATTTCCATTATGATAATTAAATAGTAGTAACTAAGCTGTCTTATCTAAATGATAAGCTTTTGGTGTACTACTGAGTAGCCACACAACCAACCACTTCGATGAAATCCCATTGGTTACTGGACCTAGTAGACAATTATCTGAATCCCCTCTTTTCTTTGATAGCTGAGGATTTACAGTTCATTACTCCATTTAAAAGCAGCAAAAGTGAAATAGGCCAAAAAGTGGAGTGTCAAATTGAAAAGCTTAGCAATAGAACCGACCTCTTTTCTTTTTGGTGGAATCCCCTATTAGCATTTTACTTTTTTATGGTCAATATTTTTTATAATTTGAAACCTACAAAAAAAATCTCAAATTATTAATAAAGTTAAAGTGCAAATAGGGAGTTTAATTGTTAATTTTTAAACTTTTTTTTTTATAGATTTTAAATTATGAAATTAATAAAATTAAGGTGCAAATAGGAGGTTTGATTATTAATTTTTAAGGTTTTTTTTTTATTGATTTTAAATTATGAAAGGTGTTGATCAAAAACAAAAATTTTCAAAGGTGTTAATTACAAGAAAAAATAATATGCATGATGTAAATAAAAGGTTTGGCCTTTCCTTAGTTGTGTTTAACCCTAGGTCATAGTGAAATAGAGCCACTCTTACCTAAAGAGAAGTAGATGAAGTAAGAAATGTACACTAATGGCTTAACCATTTTATTGCTGCGAAGAGGGGACTTACACAGACACTTAGGTATCTGTTTGACCAACACAAGCAAACCTATTTACCTATGAAACCTAGACTAGCAAACCTATTTAGATATGGAAACCTGAAATAGAAAAATACCAAACCCATTTACCGAAGGAAACCTAAAATAGCAAACCTATTTACATACGAAAACCTAATCTAGGTAGCCTATTTACAAATGGAAAAGCTAGAATACCAAACCTATTTACATATGCACAATTTGGATAATTGCTTATTAGAAATCTAGGGAATGAGTGAGAAATATGAACAACAACAATGATTTACAGTGAAGTCAAGATCGGTTGCTTGATAGGAGAGGCCATTCCTTTTTCACTTTGGTTGAGGTTTCATCTTTTTAAACATTTTCTTTAGCAGATTGGTCCTCTCCTTCGTCCGTACTTCTTCCTCAGCCTTCTTTTTAGCTTTCTCCTTTGCATCCATAAAAGCTTTAATCAAATTCTTCAGACAAGTATCCACATCGTCCTCTTCTGACTTTGGCATCATATTCTCTGCAACATCAGCAGGAATCATGTTGGTTTTCTCCAGAAGTTTGCCAATTTCTCCAAACAATGGATGAGAGTCAATGCAAAGATGATTCTTTGCTAGCACCTTGAATGCTTCAAAGCAACAATAGGACATCTCTATGTGCTGGTCCATTCTTCGACCCCTTATTAGAGCACGATCAAGTTTCTCCTTATGATTAGTGGTAGACACAATGATCCTTTCTTCGCCACAAGCTGACCATAGCCCATCAATAGAATTCAAAAGCCCTGATAAAGTAGCCTTACTCTCTTCTTCCTCCTTTTCTTTTATCTTCTTAACTGGATCCGTTCCTTCTTTGTTTTTCTTTCTCCCTCTCCTTCTTTCTTTTGCCAGTAAGATCAAGAGAGCAATCAATGTCCTCAATCACTATGATTGACTTATTTGATGTGTCAATCAAAAGCCTCTTCAACTCTGTGTTATCCTTAACCGTTGTAAGTTCAAGATCATAAGCATCATAATTCAAAAGATTAGACATGGCAGCAATCATGGTTGATATTCCGGTTCCAGGAGGACCATAAGGGAGATAGCCACGCTTCCATGCCTTCCCAATCCTTGCTTGTAGTACTCCTTCCCCTTGCTAAACTTGATAAAATCGTTCCTGATTTTTTCTTTCAACCTCGTGTCCATTGCCAAAGTATCAAAAGTTGCAGGATGGTCAAAAACCACTTCATTCCATTTGCTCCTCTTGTATCCATACCAGTTATCACTAGGATTGTTGGCGTAGAGCTTCTGCTGTCGATTCCTGGCTCCAATTGCCTTCCCTTCTTCCAACACATGACTGATATAAGACTCAGTGATGAGTTTCCTGTAACGGTTATGGAATGTGAGTATGTAGGATCCCTTCTTATCAGAAGCAGGATACTAAGTGACTGGTTGTTGGTTTTTTTTCATGAGTGAAACCCACCAAACCGTCACTCCTTGAAACTCATCAGTGACGTCCTCAGTGTAATCCATGCTAAGGACTACAGAGTGGCTGTCTTTGACATTATCAGCCTTAAGCCGCTTAGCAGATGCAGAGGGCTTGTCTTTGAGATACGTTCTTATTCTAGAGAAGGCTTCGCTACTTTTCATATATTTGCCTGAGAATTCCTCAAAGGTTATCTGAGTGTAAGGATGCAGAAAACTCAGAAATTTTTTAGCATATTTTTTAATATTGCCTTGGAAGTGATGTGGGAAACATTGTTGAAAGATGGCACTGATGACCACTAGACTTGCAGAGGCAGAGCCAAGATAGCTCCACATTCCACTGGTCATCGCCATCTTCACTATTTTTTAAAGAAGTCTGAATTTGGTCATGAAGTATGATAATTATTCACCATTGTATATATAGAGAAGACGAGGTCTTGTGACTTGCTTATCAAGTTATTGCTAGTACTGTATTCATGTGCTGAATTTCAAACTGGCTTCCAGTATAATAAAAGATACAATAAAAGACAGTATGCAAGAGTATCATTTGGTGATGCACTGCAAAGATTCAAGGAGGTTTCTTGGAAGTTAGCTTTTACCTACCTCCAATCCATTTTTAATTATCCTTGTAGTCTCCGCCACTAGCTGAACCATTTTTCATCGTCTAAGAGATACATCTTCTATAAACACCTTATAAGCTCAGAACCAGAACTAGTCCATCCTCATCCCATTCATTTTATATCATTCATGGTACATGTACCACAAACTGACTTTTTTTAGGTAACATGGATATCTAGACCTTTGGTCTAACTAATCTCACTAGTACCTGCATCTCGTCCCATCTACACTGACCGGCTGATGAATCCATGTTTATATCATGTATATTACATGCAGTATCTTTCGGTTGAACTTGCGTGTAAGAAGTTACTTCATATTTACTTTTTCTTTTCAAACTCACATAAGTTTGACTGTCCATACATTTCACTTGGCTTGAAACATAAATTATCTAATAAAAAAGGCACAAAAGAGTGACAAATAGGACTCCTTGTTCTTTTCCTTTTAATGTTGGTGCATGTACTGCATGATTCATGGTGCGTGTGTGACTTGAACAACCAGGATGGAGCTGGCCATTTAGATCTTTTGAAAGATTTGTTACATTACCTTTTCAATCTTTTAATGTAAGACCTAAACTACTTTCTCTTTTTGCATTTTGATTGAGCCCTTTGATTAAGCCCTTAAAAAATAAGAAAGCATGAAAGTTGAGTTAACTGAATGGTAAGTTTTTGGCCTTTCTTGAAACAAATTGCTATTCGACTTGTATTCTTAATTATACCAGGAATACCGGGGGGAAGACTCAAGGTCATTTTTCATTCTGCTTAATGTGCTTCTAGGACTCAGGGATGGCTTTGGTGAGGTTGACCTGCAAAAATGAAAATATTCCATGAATCATCAAAATTTGCCACAAGGAAATCTTCAAAATTTTCATTCAGGAAGAAGCATGCAAGCCATTGAGAAAGACAGGTTTGCTTTCCATCTTGCCTCTTACAGAAGGGGCAGGACTTTCAAAGTTGTGTGGACATCCTTGAAGAGTCAAACTTGTTTCGCGGTTTCAAACTAGTCCAACATGCATGTTGATTGAATTCCTACCCATTTTACAATCTGATAGGACATACAAACAATAAAAAAGACAGTGTGGAAAGCATCCTTTCTTATATTTTTTCCAAGTCATTTACTACAAGAAAATCAGTAGCTTTGTTCTATTGTGTTTGTTGAAGTACCATGTTCCCTTGTGACTTGTGAGTGTGAAGAATTAGAGTCCTATATTGAAGAAATGTAAAAAGAAAGAGTGGTTTAAATAAGTTAAGATACATGTAACTACTATATTAGTCTTTTTATTACAATATGGTGTCAACCACATGTGATAGACCACTCAATGTTGCCAATGGCATAGCACAACTAGTGGTTATTTCAGTCTCGAACCAAGCTCCCTTATGAGTGTGAAGAATTAGACTTCTACATTAAAGAAATGTAAAAAGAACTACTAGACTAGTCTTCACATTTGTGATTGATATCTTTCAATAGAGCGGTCAAGTTAAAGGAAACATCTGCTCTCTATATGGGTTTTTGCTTCACAGTGTTTCCTTTGTTTGATGAAATATGATACTTGCCTTAAAAAAAAGAAAAAAAGAGAAAAGGAAAAACAAAAAAGGAAGAACGTATAATGAGACAAGACTATGGAAAAAAGAAGAAACAGAGAAGGACCATCTATATTTTTTTTTGATAAGCCAGAGAAGGACCATATAAGAAGGACCATATAAGAAGGACCATATACGACTTTCCAGTCAGGATGCCGCTGGCCATAGAGATTTCTAAAAGTTTGTTTGATTGCCTTCTCAATTTTTTAACAAAAGT